GTTTCTGGCCATTATATGGCTAAATCCACTATACATCAAATAAGAGTGAATCATTTCTAATTTAATAGTGGCACAAATCTTTTGGAACTCATACATTATTGACATTGACATACAATATTGACCTTGAATTTATAAAATATTGATTCTTTTGTTGTTCCCTGCATTTTTCCTAGATAAGAAATGATTAGAATGCATTTTCCATAGGCTATTATTTTGTTTTGCTCACATGTACTCATAAACTATCACCTAGACAGACTGTTCTACTATTTTTGACTAAAGCAACCAAATCAAAAGAATCAGTTGCATGCTAGATAACGAAAATATTTCATTTAAATACATCCTGAAAAAGGTTTGTGGCGATATGTCTTTAAATTAAAAAGAAAATTGTGTAAGAGGTCCTAACAAATAATCATACCATTGCAAACAGAGTAGAGTTCCAGAGAGAAACAAAATGAGGCCCAATAGAGAAGCATGTGTGGGGGCTCCTGAGAACAGAAAAGGACCTAGGCTGATAGCCGTTCTCTTTCTTCCCTCTCCCTCTCTCCCTTTCTCTCTCATCAGCTATCTGGTCCTGAACAAATCTTCAGTGTCCTCACCTGAACAATAATAATATTGACATTACCTTACTGCTGTGTTAAGGTAAGAAACAGATGAGAGGGTATATGTAGAAGCATTCTGTACACCATAAAATATTACAATTACAATATCAAACTATAAATGAGAACACTATACATATGTAAGTTATAAACAAAGAGAAAGGCAAACTAGTGGGGTTGATTTGAAATTTACTCATAATAACACAGATGTGCAAAAATTAATTTAAAAAAATTATGTTTCCCATAACTGACCTCATCTTCCTCAAAAGTCTTCATTCTCACTTGGTGGTAAAAAAAAAAAAAAAAGAAAAGAAAAAGAAAAAAATTTAAAGCTTGTTCATTTGGTGTATCTCAGGTTCTTCATTCAATAGTCAACTTGGGGTACATTTTACTCTTTCTGGTTTTTCTCTCCCTTCCCCCTTCTCCTCACAGACTGGCATCTGCTCAAGAAAAAGGTTATGCAATATTGGGGGGTGGGGAGCAGAGCATCTGCTGCCATTAGTGCCCTTCCTGGGTGGGCGGCTACATCCTGAGTAAAACTAAGCTAATCCGGCCGCTCCTTGGGTTTTGGCCCCTCCTGCACTATACCCGGTTCTGAAGTGTCTGGTGGCCCTCTCCGCATGGGCACGGGGCAGGTTTGCTTCTGTCTTCCCTGACTGACCAGACTCTTCATCGCAGCTCTGTCCTCACTCCTGACCTCAGATACCTGGCTGTGCGCAGTGCTGGGACCCCAGGCGGAGAGAAGCAGCCTCTGCCAGATTGCCCTTGCTTGCCAACACTAGGACCCTACAAGGTGTGCTCACTCCTGCTCATCAGCTCAGGTCAGTGTCTCTGCCCCACCGTCATGCCTGAGCCCTCCTGAGACATGAGGTGCCTGGAGGAGGGGTGAGAGGAATGGCCCTTCTCAACAGGCCACTTTCAACTCCACCGTGCGCCCCAAGGTGGTTGACAGACTCCCAAGGGGTAGTTCCTCTGAGTCTGGGCCGGGGGAGGTTGACGCAGCCTTTTTGGCTTTCATCTCCCTCTTTAACCTTCATGTTTTCTTTTTAGATCACCTTCCTCTCCGTTCCTGTTCCCAATCTCTCATCAAGCATCATTTTGCACCAATCGGGGGTGAGGGGTGGGGCTTCCCTTAATCTGTGGTTGGGTCCCACTTTTATAAGCTTTAGTCTTATATCCTCAAGCTTTCTTCTCAATATGCAAATGGAAGCTTTAGCATTTTCAACAAATCCTGGCTTGTGTAAAAACTTTTGTAACAAATGCACAATGACACATTTGTTCTACGATCTAGACTGTATCCACCCCACACCTAAAGCAATAAAGGCCATTGATTTTATGACTGTGGCAGCTGCAGGGCAACAAGATTTACAGGGAATTTCTTTAAAAGCATCACTAAATATTTCAAAAAAATTTTTTCTTACTACATAAATTATGTAGTTTAAGATTATGGGAGATTTCCAGAGCTTCTTGAATAAAGGGAGAAAAATGCCTGTGAAATAGCAATCACATGGAGAAGATGTTGCTTACCCATTTTAGAGATGAGGAAATGAAGGCTCAGAGAAGACAGATAATTTTTACAGCATGTGAGCAGTGAAGCCAAAATTTAAACTCAAATATTTGTATTATCACGCCAGTGTTCTTTTCACTATAAATATAGAAGTTCCTTGACAATGTCAGTCAATCCAAAACCCAAAATATGAATATGAATTCCTGACACTTCCTACACACACAAAAATATACATGACTTCAATGAAGATTACAAAGAGAGAAATCCTGATGAGTCATTAAACTTCTTCATTCATTATTTTCTTGATTCAACTAGCACTTACTGAATACTTCTGATATAATAAATATTGGACCATGGATTGGACTCTTAAAAAGGTAATTGTCCTTGCTCTTAATTAAATCCCAATATAGTGGGGAAGACAGACAAATGTAATTAAAATACACCTAAACAAAGTCAGCGCTATATGATTTTTAAAAATATTTTAATCTCATCCAAGGATATGTTTTTATTGATTTGAGAGAGAGGGAAAAGGAGAGGGGGGAGAGAGAGAGAGAGAGAAATATAGATTGATTGCCTCCCGTAAGGGCCCTGACCAAAGATCAAACCCACAGCATAGGTGTGTTCCCTAACCAGGAGTGGACCGTGCAACCTTTTGGTGCACAGGATGACACTCCCACCAACTCAGCAACCCGCCCAGGGCAGTGCGATTTGACTTTAAGTATCATGAGGCTCCCAGGGTTCACAAAGCAAATTTTTTCATGCCTCGAATGTTTACTAGAATTTCATAGTAATTCTACAGGTAGAAGTTTCATTATGTCCCAGCACATGTTGGGATGTAAGGGATTACTTAGTTAGAAATGCTTCTCTATGAATCTGCAAATCTCAAAGGGAAAGACAGAAATGTAGGGTACACAGCAACTTGGAAAAGTCATGAGAGCCAACCATCTCCACTTCTTGCATATTTCTCACTGGCCAATTTACTTTTCAACCATCTAAATGCACTACAAACAGGTCCCCTCTGGAGCACTTGTAGTGGCCTATACACACACACACAAGCTGCATTAAAAAGTAAATTTGGTAAACTTCATTAAAACATCTTCCTCAAATATGACATTTTCCAGTGATCTGAGAAGAGTGACAGGGAGAATCCCCCCAGAGGGATGTCATGACTTTGAGTCAGCGTCTCAGTGTCTGGTTATGTGAAGGTTTTGTGAGAATAGTGCAAGATTTCCTTTGATAGCTGAAGACTGACAATAGTATTCAAATGCCAAATGTGGTGAAGGGAAAAAATAACAAATGTGTCAGAATTCTGTTCTTCCAAATCCTGAAACTCAAACACCTGCCCTGATATATTAAAATCTTCGACTTAAAAATAGAACTTAACAGGCTGCTGCAGCACTTAAAATTATTAACTCCAATTAAAAAGAAAAAGCACAGTTATCCCCTAAAAACTAAATAGTCTAGAGATATTTGGTAAGGAAAGTAGAAACCCATATCCATTTTTCCTCTCTTGTGAAGGGGGATCATTTACATATCCCACCATGGAATTATATATATGCTAATTACATGCTAACATAAATATTAAAAAAAATATTCTATGAAAACAGCAAGCTGAAGAACTACCAAAAACAAGCAAAGGCAGAAAAATAGATCTGCTGGAAAACAAATTCTGTCATCTTGCTTACTCATGTGTAAACATCCAATATGCTCGATGCTTTGACATCTCTATTCATTTTAGGGTTTGAATCAGCTATAACTATATGACCTTTAACTGAGTGATTGATTCATCAAAAATTCTGAAATATGTTACATAGGAGACTAACTTCCTGTGTGTACAAATATTCTTATGGTGTCCCATTTTAAATGATAACTTCCACAAGGAACTGAGAACCCCTAAAGAGAATGTTTTTTTAATTCACATTTTTTCAATCATTCATACCTGAAACTGGATTTTTCACTACAAAGCTCTTATTTAAAAACCTTTTTGTGGCTATGTTCCCAAAAATGCTTGACAAGGACATTCTATAAAACTCCATAACTGATGAAAGGCAAAGAGAAGTGTTACTCTTCTATTTATGTTCTACCGGTACAATCAGACCTCTCTAGGCAAAATCTAGGCAAAAAGAAAGACGCCCAGTGGATTAAATGGCACAGGTTCCAAGCTTTACCTCCAGGTTTCTGTGCCCTCAAGCAATAAACTGGCTTTTGCATCTTGCAAACATATGCAGGAAACTAGGCCAAATATGGCTGATAAACTTGGCCAAGTTCTTCCATGTGACCCACTGTGACAGCCAACCTAAAGTTCCCAATGTCAATTTTATTTCCAAATGAAAATTTTCCTTTTTCATTAAAATATGTTAATATTAACGATACAGATACAAATAAACCCATCTCACATGTTTGGAGTAAAAAGCAATGCATATTTTAAAGTAACAAATGGACTGTATTTGTCTCATTGGAAGGAATGAGTATTTAGAATAAGATGAATATTATGGAAAGAGACCAGACCATACAATCTTATCCACACAGTCAAGGATTCAGAAGCATAAGGAGGAATGTTTCCAGTGTCTCTGCCAGGTGAATGCCTTCTAGGTTCACCAGAGTGATGGGCTACCTTGACTAAATCTCTAAAGTCAGCTGAGACTTCATGGCGGTATTTGAAATTTCACGATTTCTAGAAGTTCTACTAATTGTCAAATATAAAATTAAAGGTGTTTAAATAGACATGTGCTTTAAAATGTTGATAACTAACTGATATAAATGTGTACTCTCAATGCATTTGACATTTTGAGGCATCTACTACTACACTAGAAATGACAATAAAGACGGTGAATGTGTACACCGTCCTAGTCCTCAAAGACATCCTGTGAAAGTAGACACCCTACAACGTGTCCTACCTGGAGTTTCAACCTGGTGCTTTGGGCTGTCTTTTCTCAAGCCATTTTCCATTTTGTCAAGTTAGATGGAATGATTGAGTTACTGCGTCTGTTCCATATTTCTACATTAGAGTGACAGTTGTTTATTGCACCATTACCAAAAGCTGTCTTCTGACAGAGTGCATATCACACATCGGTGAAGATGAAACAGCTCTTCCCTGGATAGCTCGTTCAAAAAAACCTACAAGAAAGATATATGTGAGATTAATATACGTGTCTAAGTAAAGATAAGTTTTTATCTCACATAAGGAATGTATCGAAACTGTACCAATTATATATCTTTTCATATTTACATAAGGGTATTTTCACGCCTAGAAAACTCTCTCAAGACAGATCCCAGACACATCAACAAACCGCCTATACCACCTTACTTATTTTTCCTTCTTTTCCCCATTTATTTTTCCTTCTTACAATGACAAACTCTCCTATTCTTCTTCCTGCTTCCCCTTGTCTTGTATCCATGTTCAAATCATGTTTCTCCTTGAAAACCAATCCTCTTTCCATGTCTCTCCCCACCTACTCATCAATGCTCTTCTTATGCAAACATTTTGGGAAAGTGGGTTATTTTTAGTGGCAATCTTCCTCACTGCATATTTACTGCTGAATCTAGTGGATTCTGGTTTCAATAGTCACGATTCCACTAAAACTACTTATGGCTAAAGTTAGGTAATTTTCTAAACTGCAAAGTCCACTGGAAACTTTCCACCCCTCACCTGGTCTATGAGCTCTGTTGAGTGCCCCCCTTTCTTACTAAAACTCTATGTTCCCTTGAGTGCTTCCCCCTATTCTGAATCGGCCCACTCTTCTGATTTGCCTAATTCCTCTCAATGTTCCTTAGCAGTATTATACAGCCATTATGAGGACTCCGGAGCCACATTATCTTGGCTAAAATCTCAGCTTTTTCCTTTACTGGCGATGAGATTTTGGGCCAGTTCATTTAATTTTTCTGTGTAAGTTTTTCCCATCTATAAATTGGGAATTATATTAGTATTAGCCATTCGACACCCATCGGCGATGTGAAGTTTGGGGTGTATCCTCTGTTGTTCTCATTCATTAGGCAGACACTCAGTCCCTGGGGTCTTGGAAGTGGGACATTTTCATGGGTCCTGCTCCACCCTGACCTGCAGGTCTGGGCCCCAGATGTACTCCTACCCCTCACCCAGGGATAGAGGGTTTTTCTCTGCCCTCTTTCAGCTGCAATGAGCTTTCATGAGAGCCCTAAGAACAAGAGTTTACTGTTCTTCCCCAGGTGGTGTCAAGGCTTTTACTCCACTGGGGAGAGAGAGCAACAGAGAGGGGACTTCCCGCCTTCCCTTTGGTGACAACTGACCCCCTCCCCCAGGCGGGCTCACAAGAATGGTTTCTCAGGATGCCTGACCTATCTTTCCTATGCATGTCCTACGCATCTGTAGACAAGCCTGGAGTTACTGCAAGTTCCCCTCATGTCCGCAGTCCCCAGGAGTTTGCTTCTCTTGCCATCCCTCGCTTGGCTGCTGGCAACCTGCTGAAAGTTTTGGTTGAATTACCCTCACCGGCGGCCTTACGCACCTGGCCCCGGGAGACAAGCGCTTGCCCTCGTTCCTCCTCGGAGGCACCTGTCCTTCCTTAGATTTTAAGTTAGTTGGTTTCCTTGGGCCCTCAGCTCTCTCATGGGTTCAAGAAAAGTTATGCATTTGCAAATTTTCTATCATTTTGTTGTTGTAGTAAAGGTGGCAACATTGCTCTTTTTGTTTTTCTACATCCTAAATGGAAACCCAAAATGCTGATTTTTCAACCAAGGCCCCCAAAGCATTTCTGTAGATTAAAGGAAATCTTTTCAATCAGTGATGTTATAACAATTGGATATTTAGTTGGGGATATTTAGTTTTACTCACACCTCACATTACCCACAAAAATGTACCCTAGACTATCAGAGATTTAAACACCAAAATTAAATTATAAAGATTTTGGAAGAAAACATAGGAGATATCTTTGTGATCATGAGGAGGCAAAAATTTCTTAAGAGCAGAAAGTAATATTGACCATTAGAGAAAAAAGTTATAAAGTAGAATTAATCAAAATGAACACATTTGTTCTTTGAAAGACATCTTTAGGAAATAAGTAGGGAAACTACAGACTGGGAGAGAATATTCATAAGACAGATATCTGACAAAGAACTTCCATCTAATCCTAACATTCGATAATAAAACCACACGAGACACCATTACACACCCACTCAAAGGGCTAAAATTAAAAGACTGCCAACACCATGTGTTGATGAGTATGTGGAAAAAACAGAACTCTCTTACACTGCTGTTGGAGAAAACAGCAGAGCCTCTAGAAACTAGTATGGAAGTTCCTTATCGAGTAAAACACTTGCATGTTGGTCTTTACCTGAGAGTAATATAAACACATATGCATAAAAGGCTGATACAAAAATGTTCCTAATAGCTTTAGGTAAAATGGCCCCAAACTGGAAACAATCCCGTTGTCCATCCGCAGGAGAATAGCTAAACAAATTCAGGTATGTCCGGACAAGAGAACACAATAAAAAGAAATGCACACAGTAGAGCAGTATCATGGATGAACATCAAAAATCTCAACAGGAGGTGACAATCCAGCCACACTGCATACTGTATGATTCCACTTACACAAAACTGCAGAACAGGCAAAGCTAATCTATGGCACAGAGTCAGAACAGTGTTTCTCCCAGGGAGCTGGGAAGATAGGACTAACAGGGAAAGGGCAGGAACAATCTTTTTGGTGAGCGAAATGTTCTATATATTGATAGGGTGGGGGTTACCTTTATCAGAAGTAGTCAAACTCTATGCTTAAGATTTGCGTAAGTCTTCATCTGTAAATCTACAAATTATATCTCAATAAAAAGGCTAAATGTGGAAAAATATAAATATACATGTACACACATAAGGCTTTCTCTGACTACCCTACATAAAATAGCATCGCCCTCTCTCTCTCTTTCCTACACGTTTGCCTGCTTTAGTATTTGTGATAAGCTTTATTTATTAAAATTTGACATTCTAGCATATTCTTACCTATTTATCATCTGCATTTCCTATTAGAATATAAGTGTCTTGAAGGTAAGGACTTTTTTTAAATTTGCCATTATATATCCAGCGGTAATGGCTAAGACTAAAAGGCAATCATTAATCAAACTGGATGCCGGACTTATTTGTTTTCTTGGTTACCTGAGTTTCTTCTCTGCTTGTCTAGTGGAGGTTTTTTAAAATCAAGAGATAAAGCCTAGGTATGCACAGCACTTTGGAATCCATAAATACTACACCACTTATGGGATGATTAAATACAAGAAACTGGCTGTCTAAGGAAGATGTTCAATGTAAGACAGCTTAAATTCTTCTACAGAACAGCTTGTTGTGGTTGTAACCTTTCTCCTAAGAGCTGCTGCCCAAAGCAAGAACAAGACTGGGCAAGCAGGCAGCACCTGGCAAGGCGGAGCCTGTCTAACCGGCGAAGGCACAGGCATTGCTTCCCTTCCTCAGGTTCCTGACTTGCCTTCACTCGGTGGCTAATGGGAATTCATTATAAGACAGCTTTCTGGGATTAGAGCGTTGTAGTAGTATCAGTCAGATGGAGAATTTCAAGCTAAGCCTCAGTTTAAGCATTTACAGATTTATAACTAATTAGATCCTATCCACACCTCACCTGAAATCATGTTAACAAGATCCACGTTAAAGTACATTTATAGCTGGCAGAGGAGTAACACAGTCCTTTAGGCTACCCTGGGCAACACTGTAAAAAGAATTTTTCTATTTCAAGATTTTTTAAAAACGAATAAATGAGCTGGTTTCAAGGAAGCCCCAGATATATAGTACAAGGGTTCCAAAATGAAGGTACCTTGGTCACCTGTTAAATATATAACCTGATGGAAAATCACAGACATCCACTTCACCAGAGAACATAAGCACAGAGTTTCTTAAAAGTTAAATATCTTTATTAAATTAGGAAAGAAGATAATTGAAAAGAAAGATAAAACAGTATCTGATGGAACCTGGAATATAATGCAAATTCATTTTATAATGTACAGATTACTTGAGGTCCAGGTAAATGATTGCCCAGCAATCTATTGTAATCTAAATTTTAAATTGCCCTATGGTAGTGAATGCTACAGATACCTAAATTGGATTGAAGGAATCTTTTGAACTAATGCAAACATAATTTATTTGAGTATAACAACCCAATGCTACTTATTTAACTTGGAAGGGCATAATTTATTACACATATGTAGAAGTGATCCCTAACTCCCAGAACATAAGAAATTATTCAAATGTGAACAATTTGAGTTAATAAATTATGTAATAATGTCATAATTTATCTATTATATGAACAAAAATACTATTAACCAGCAGGGTACAATATTTCAGTTTAGTTCGGGGAAGGCCTGGAGTACTGTAAGGGTCTCTTTTAATGCTGGGTGAGAGGTTAGTGATGGCTCCATGGAAAGTTTTCTACATTTATAGTGGGCAATTATTTAAAGATCGGTGGGCACATACTCCTTACATAAACTCTCGTGTTACTAATCAACTCGGAGACTCAGCTCAGATGAGGAAAGGGCACAATGGGATCTCTGTGAAGCACTAAGTTTAAAGAAACTAAATAAGTCAGGAAAGAACTCTCAGCTCAGCGAACAATTTGACTCATTACTGCCTTTTCTTCATGGTCGCTGCCAAGGCTTAGCCTCCATTAGTAGGACTTACCCAGCTCATCTGCTTACTCCAATCTGGCTTATGTCTAAAACAAAGACGGTCACTTGTAAAGCAGCAAATTTATGCACACACACAAAAGAAAGTATGTACTCAGAGTTCCGAATGAAAAGAAAAGACTTTCTTCTTTCCTCCTGTTAAGACTAGCAATCTCATGAACTGTCTTTTTATGCTTTGGCAGAAGCAGTTATAGTTTCTGCATTCAGAAATGTTACCATTAGTCCAAGTTTTAATCATGCAGGACCCTCCTAGGAATTCCAGACAATGACAAGTTGTCCAACAATTTAGACAAAAACATTTGGTTTAAGAATCAAGCCACTGTCTGTCTATCTCTGTTTCTCACTGGCTTCCTTGTTTAATTCTGGAGAGAAACAAAGGCCTTTGGGAAACTGAGTTATATTTTTAAAATAGGTAAATAGCTACATGACAATAGTACTTTTCCTAATAATGCAACTTCGATCCT